GCTCCACAATGTTGTGGAGCACGCAGCACGCGGCCAGTACCTCCGTTGCATTCCGCTCACCCATCTCGAGACGGGTGAGCAAACAACGGAAGTGGGCTTTCAAGCGTCCGAAGGCGAGCTCCACCTGATTTCGGGCCCAGTTGAGGCGGTCGTTGAACTGGGCCCGGTTCTGGTCCGGCCGCCCCGTGTAGGGCCGCATTAGCCAGGGCAGCAGGGGGTAGGCCGCGTCCCCGATGACACAGATGGGCATAGGCACATCCCCGACAGTCAACTCCCGCCGGGGGAAGTAGGTGCCCGCCTCCAACCTGCGAAAGAGTCCGGAGTTGCGGAGGATGCGGGCGTCGTGTGCCCTGCCGGACGAGCCCCCGTAGACGTCCAGGAAGCGGCCCCGGTAGTTCACGAGGGCCTGGAGAACAATAGAGCACAACACACAAAAGAAACTTGAGTTGATCACACTGTCCAAAGCCTTCAAAGCAAGTGTTATTTTCACAGTCGCTACTTTCTAGCAAGTCTCTTCCTGAGACTAATGAACAGAAAATTAGGGATAGAAAAAAATGTAAAGCTGCCAAGTAATATGCACTCATTCTCCCACTTCACTACTAATACTGCAAAATTGATTAATAGAACTACTTCCTCACTACTTTCACCCCTTATGGTCACTTAGACCTTGTCAAAGTGGATGACAAATGCTATCTTTCTGTTCCACTCCCTTTGCACAGATCTAAGCAACCACATGAAGTGCATGGAAGTAGAGAAACCGGTTCTCCAGTTAGGGCCTACTACAGCAGAACTTAGTTTGAAGACAACCTAAGGAGTACAGCTGGCCTGCAGTTTGGAAGAATTAGTGAACTGGCTCTTAAGCCCCGCAGCAGTTCAATGGTAACTCAAAGCATGGTTGGGATATTTTTGTGCCTATTTACTGCTAGCCTTTTTGTGCCTATTTACTCTAACCCTTAGCTGTGGTTCCTAATTAGCAACTTCTGTGTTAGCTGCTCTAACCAATGAGAATGATCACCTATGTCATTGTGACTGACACAGTGAAGATTTAGATATTCTGTCCTCACAAGTGTTTCAAACCTATAAATAACAAAGTCCAGGTGCAGATCACATACAGCTATTATGCATAATATCTCCATTAATTGTTGTTAGAAACAGTAACTCCTAATTCTACCATATACTTCTCCAGCAAGGCCAGTTCTGACAGGAAACAGGAAACCCACAGTACTCTCTGGTTTCTCAGAATTTTATTCAGTCAGGGCTTATCTCCTGTGTCATCAGAACAATGTGTGACTACCCTCTAGCAGAACTTTTTAAGGCCTACAGTTCAGGAGAGGCAATTGCAGTTTAAATAATAACAATCTACTTGGTTTACAGGCTCTATCATTTGAAAGTCAAGATAATCCCTCTTGTGCATTACTCTCTCATCCACACACACCCAGTTTCAACTCTCCCTGGATTTGTCCTCTGGTTAGACTACAGGATAGATATATCCACTGGGAACTCAGACATTATCTAATTATCTCTGTGTTTTTCTATGGAGCCTATGCTTCACTGCTGTTTAAAATTAACCTTTCTCAGTTTCTGTGGTAAGTGTTTTGATTCAAATCTCCTTGTCAGCTTGGGTGCAGCTGGTTCTGAATTCTTCATACTTTCCACAAAGGAGAGAGGACATTCTCTAGGCACTTGTGACAAATAATAACTCAAAGTACAAGCATGTACTGGGCTGCTGAAACAGTTTTTATAGTGGGGGTCCTGAGAGCCATTAAACCAAACTGTAAACCCTATATCTACTGCAAACCACTTCTAGCCAGGAACTGCAGCTGCATCCCCCACACCTCGAGTTCCAATATACTATGTACAGCTGAACAAAATGGTTCAGGCAAAAATTCAAAGCATGTTTCATGTGCTGGGTAATAACATGAGAGGACTGCTTACTTATTAACCAAAACCACTCTGTATTCAACCTGCAATCCATGATCCTCCCTCCAGGTTCCATGGAGATTACTATAATCAAAACTCAAAACACTGCACATTCAGTTCAAACACTGCAAATATTGCAGCATTTTGTAAATTCCCATGCTGAGGCCTCTAAGACCTTATGCATATAAATGTAGGGAAGGAGACCCACCTCCTTCTTGTGTGTAGTGCAGCATAGTTCCATGCTGCAGGATTGCAGAAAGGTGGTCTTGTGACCCAGGTACTCAGCAAGCACAAAGGAAATTGGAGTTCAGTTCCAGGCTCAGCTATAGACTTTCTGTGTGATCTTGGATGTGTTATTTACTTGGTCTGTGCCTTGGTACCTCATCTCTCCCTGCTTACATAGTTAACCTCTGTTTCTCATGTGGTCAAGCTAACAAAATCCTAACACCCTCCTTGAAGATTTGGAGAGAATATTAATATCAAGGGAACAATGTTCCCTCTAATCTTTTCCACCGATATGTGGAATAAATTTGTATGTGCACCAACGCATGTGCAAATGTGCACAACCAATAGAAACAGAAAACCTTGCTCCATTAATCAGTTGGGCAACCAGGCCTGCCAATAGGCAGGGCAAGGGGGGCAAATGCTGCACTGCCTGGCTATTCAAAGGGGCCCAACCGGAGCCCTGGTCCTTTTAAATCGCCAACATAGCCTCAAGTGGCATGCTGCAGAGCCCTGGGCATCACACTCTGGGTGGCACTAGGGAACACAGTCCAGGTGGCCCTGAAGGCCAGCTGCTTCAGCCCTGCCTCCTCTGTCCAAGGCCCTGCCCCTTCTGGGAGCATGGAAACCCCACATACACACCTTATCCAAGGACCCAGCAAGTCTGTCAGCTCACCTATGGGTGGCATTTGAATTTCTCCTGGACACATTCCATACAGCTGCCATTTCTTTACTTTATTGTGTTAATTCCAGACTCCTAGGGGTTAGATTTTCCCCTGTGTAGAGAGTGGTAGAAACCATTTAGATCCCAATCACCCCCATGGGGGCTAAGTAGGAGTTACACGATGCATGTGCCTTACACTGGGCTTCTACGCTGGAGAGAATTTTAATCCCTGGTCAGTTGGGCTATGTCTACACAGCAGCATTATTTCAGAGTAACTGACATTATCCCAAAATAACCAGGAGTGCGTCTACACTGCAAGCTGTTATTTCGAAATAATGTCGAGCTGGAGGACTTCTTACTCTGACTCCTGTAACCCTCATTTCACAAGGAGTAAGGGAAGTGGAAGGAATAGTGCTCTTCCTTTGACTTCCTGCTGTGTAGACAGCGCCTAAAGCTGAATAAAGCTGTTTCGACTTCAGCTACGCAATTGATGTAGCTGAAGTTCCATAGCTTAATTCAACTTTAGCCCTGCTGTGTAGACGTACCCTTGGGATGCAAGTACTCCAAGGCTTAGTCTACACTGCAGGGTTTTTGCGCAGGAAGCCTTATGCAGAAGAGATCTTGTGCAAAAACTTCTTGCGCAAAAGCACATCGAGACCTCAAAGCGCATCGCAAAAGCGATGTGCTTTTGCACAAGAGAGCGTCCACACTGCATGGACACTCTTGCGCAAGAAAGCTCTGATGGCCGTTCACGGAATGGCCATCAAAGCACCTGTGCTTTTTCTGATAGGGGTTTCTTGAGCAAAAACCCCTCTGGAGCGTCCATACCTGCTTTTCTGCACAAGAGCTGTAGTGCTAAAAGGAGTTATTCCTCATGGGGAGAGGAATAGCTCTACCGGCAAAAGCCCACTGTTCTGCCAATTTTCTTGCACAAAAACGTGCTTGAGGTGTGGATGCTCTGCCGGTTTTTGCGCAAAAACCTTGTAGTGTAGACATAGCCCCAGATTTTTTCCAAAATGCAGGGCTATCCCTAGCACCGAGCCTGTTCTCAAAGTCTGCATGTCACACCCAGCCTCCATCTTTGCTGTAACCTACTCCTAACCCCATTCCCAGCTGTGATGCATGGCAGAGTGTGAAGCTCTGTCAGGGCTTGCTAGAGAGAGAATGTGTGTAAGCCCAGACTTCCCCGGCCTTGCCTTCATTTCAAGTATGTATAACCCCACTCACAACATGTGAATTACAGCACAACCTGCTGCCAGGTTCTCAGTATGTGGATGTAAACATCCATCCCTGCCTGCAGATGTTTATTTCCTGATTGCTGCATGCTGCATCTGATGTGTTTCACAATGACCTCATCTGAAACACTTCTGATGGAATAATGAAAATGAAAACCGGATCCCCCCCTCTTCTATTTCTGCTGCCTATTAATCCAAGGTGATTTAGAATGTCCTTGGGACTAATAGCAACTGAAATTTATTTCAGGAGCTCAGGGACATGTGGGAGAGGTTATTTACTCTAAAGAAACGTCTGGCAATGATGATGTCATAGGAGCCAGTGCATAACCTTACCAACTTGGCTAGGTTTCCTACCAGATCACTACCTGCCGTTTCCTACATGAGATGGAACCTGCTGATGGATAGGGTGTCTGAACATAATCGGCCTATATACTGCTTGATTTTTATAAATGCTTATTGGCTTAAAATAACTTTTCTTTCTTGTTTTTTTCCCCCATTAAGCTCCTGCTTATGTTCTCTTTAGCATTCACCTGCAGTGGGCGTAGACCTGCTGTCAATAACTTTTAATTCAATCCAAAATGAAACACAGCTCAGTCACGGTAAGCTTAATTTCCACTCTGCTCATTAGCTGGTTCCTTTATGGGAAAAGGCTGCAGGTAAAATGATGAAAGAGAGATTTGTGAATAAATAAAGTGTTCTATAATGAGGATATAGTTTTGTGAAATCCTGTTTAGTCACTGCTTGGTTTGAAGAAATTCTGCCTTGCATCACTAATATTATAGAGAAATTTCATGGTGGCTAAAATTCATGATCTCTTCATCAGTCTCAGCATCCAAGATTAGTCCAGAGCTCTGGTGCACCTTTATATTGCTAAGGATTCTCTCATGAAGAGGATATATTTCCAAGTGGGACATTTTTAAGACTTTTGTTTTGTGGTTAGAGAAGGTGAGTGGGAGTCAGGACTCCTGGGTTCTCTTAGGCTGTACTAGAAGATTCACTGTCACTTTTAGCAAGTTAATTAAGTCACTGTGAACAGGGCATATAATTTCTTCTCTAGATTAAAAGGGTGTTGTGAGTAGTAATTAATTAGGTTCAGTCGAATGCTGTAAAATTTCCAGATCCTTAACATAATTGAATATAGAGTGGAATTGACCATTTATTTCTCAAATTTTGTCTCTGCTGGTGTGTGATTCAGTGCCCATTGAAATAGATGGAAGGATTACCACTGATTTCAATGGCCATAGAATGGATTTGTTTGGCACAGAATTGATTGCAAGAAGATAGTGAAATTCTGAGGTACGTATTTTATTAAATATTATTTGCAAATGTGAGACATTTTTTCCTATATGAATAGCTCATTTGAATGTCAAAATCAGGGCTCTGTTGGTTGGTTACATAGGTCAGGTGGCACAGTTATTGGGTATGATTGGTTGAGCTATGGACCCAACCAAAATAGCAAAAACAGAATTTTACACTCCAATATAAAATTCAAAATTTGCTTTCTGTAAATATTAAAATATAAAGTTCTCCTTTCACAGATGCACATGCTTTAAAAACTGTGACTATGAGAATGTCTACCAAAATGAATCAGAAAGCAGTGGCAGATTCAACTGAGTCCAAATTATCTTCCAAATTCCAGTGAAAATTCACAAGAAATGTTTTCCCACTATTTACATTGCAATTTTAATCATAATAAACATAGAAGCATTTTCTTTCATTTATTTAGAAAGAATTCTGAGCACATTTTTCCTATCTGCACATAAACTGGAGTCATCATCAACAACCACCATGGTCTCAGCGCCCATTGGTGTCCGATGCCTCCCTCACTATTTCCTTCCATCTTTCCCTGTACAGTGTGGAGTGGCTTTGGTGCAGAGCTAATCTACTAGATCATCTACCCATTCTCTGTGGGGTCTGCCTCTCCTATTCGGACCATCCATTATGCCAAATACCAGGCTCTTAACTTTTTGCTCGTCGTTCATTCTGCAGATATGCCCGAATAGCTGTAACTTCCATTGTATAACCACCTGCAGTAGGTTCTCTTTCAGCTGTATCTTCCTATTTAATTCCTCGTTGGTGACCTTCTGCATCCATCCTATTCTCAGGGTCTTTTTATAACAACTCCTCTCGAATGCCAATATCCTTCTCTTTGAATCTTTCATTATCACCCATGTCTCACATCCGCACAACATGCTAAATACACATTTTCAAGACGCTCAGCTTTGTTCCTAAGCTTAATCGCTTTACTTTTCCAGATCTTATCCATCGCCTTCAAACTCACTCTCACTTTCGCTATTCTAGTCGCTATTTCCTTCTTACAGTCTAGATCATGTTATGTTGTTCCCCAAATACGTGAACTTCTCTATGTTGGCTAGTTTGATCCCATCTACACTGATCTTCCTTCCTATTTCCTTATCTCCAAATACCATTGTCTTCATTTTATCTATATTCATAATCAGTCCATACTGCTTCCCTTCCTCATTTAGCACCTGCACCATTCTCGCTAGCGTCTCTTCATCTCCCTCGATGATAACTATATCATCTGCCAACCTCAAGTTGTTAATTCTCATCCCTTCTACCTCTTCCTTGATCTTGTCCATTGCTCTCTCTAGGTGTGTGATGAAGATACTTGGGGATATCGGATCTCCTTGTCTCGTACCTCTACTCGTTCTAAACAAACTTCCCAACTCTCCACACATTCTCACTGCTGCCTCCACATTATTGTTGATATCCTTCAACAACTGTATCAGTCTGCTATCCACTCCATATGACTCCAACACCGCCTAAGTCACTTTCTAATCTGTACTGTCAAATGCCTTCTGAAAATCGACAAAGCAATTGTAGATGTGACTGATATTAATCACGTGTTGCCTGGGAGCCAAGGATGGGAAGAGTGAGTCAAGTGAGCAGAGGGTCATCTCAATGCCAGTATGATGGGCGGCACTCTCCTTTTTGTTTTGCAATTCTCTGAATAGGCTGCTTTTGACTTTTTCACCAATCCTTGACTTCATCTGATCCATGCTCGTGTTACATCCCGACTAGATTACTGTAATGCACTTTATGTGGGGCTGCCTCTAAAGAGCCTTCGGAAACTTCAACTGGTCCAGAATGCGGCTGCTCGAGTTTTAACTAACACTGGTTATACGGAGCACATTGTGCCAGCACTCCCGGCGCAGCTGCAGGTCTTCCAGCATCCAGGCCTGGACGGTGTGGTGCAGGGCTCGCAGGGCCCCCAGGTGCTGGTCCCGGTACTCCTGCCACGTGCTGGCGGTCCGGAGCAGGCCACGGGTGCGGGAGCATGTCCTGGGCGGGGTGGTGCGCCCTGCACGAGCAGCTGGTGCAGCTGTAGAGAAAGAAGAGAAGTGGTCAGTTCTCCCTGGGGACACAGTG